TTACCTAGAGATGAATTAGGAAGCTCTGGTGGCCTAGTGGTAAGAACCTGCCCTGCAATCCTGAAGTCTCGTGGTTCGAATCTACCAGCTACTCCACAGGAGAAAGATGGGCTCTCCTCCCTTGCGATTAACTGCCTCTGAAAACCCTCTGGAGGGTGGTCAGCTATGGGTCAGCTCTGACTTGACAGCACACAACGACAGAAGTGATTTAGAGAGGCCACATGGTCATGGCTATACCCAAATCAACAAAGTGGAATTAAAGTCAGGCTTTTGCTCGGGCAAAAGGTCATATTTTGTGTGGCCCCACAGACCAACAGATGAAAGCAACTAGAGGTAGAATTTACTCTCCACATGTAGGGAGACATAACAGCCAGGGATGAGCTGCCTCAGGTAATAGATGCATCCCCAGGACCTGATAATATTGAGACTGCACTGGAGGCCTAGGGTTGCTAGAGGAAGGACCCTCACAGTCCCCTTTTGTGGTAGCAGGGGACCCAGCCAGACTTGACTTTTGGCTTCTGCTAAAACAAGAGCAACTCTTCTTGGCATCTCCAGAGTGTAACGTGAAAGATGAAATTAATTGGAAGGGTTTCTAGTACCTCCTTCCCCAAAAAAAGTACTGAGTTAAATAGTAATTAGAATTTATTGAAAAATAAAGGACAAACATTTCACAAAAGTCTAATAAGGACCAGATTATTATGCAGGCTTCTTGTCTCTACAACCACCACTTACTCTGCATATTTGCACTTGCTGTGTGCCCAGTTTTTTTGAAAATAATATCTCACTTAATCCTCCACATAATCCTCTTGGGATCCTTCAAGATAGATGTGAGTGCTGGCCCATGTTACAAATGAGTAAACTAAGATTCTGTGAGGTGAATTAACTTTTCCCACATATTTTAACTCACGAGGGCATAAGATAAGGTTTGAACTCAAGTCTGGATCAAAGCTGTGCTCTTTCTGCCATACCACATTGCTTCTGTGTGAGCCATAAGAGAAGTTAGACTTGAGATGATAAATGACTGTAAGAATTAAATGAGAATCTGTGTATAAAGTGTTTGGTACACGCTTAAGGTAAGTCCCCTTCATTCTTACCATCATTTGGTTGCCCGCTTGCATTGATTCCTGTGAGCCAAGCTTTGTGTGAGGTACGGAGCTGTAGACATAAGTAAAACATAGTCCTTAAAACTAAGGACCTCATGGTGAAATTAGGTGAAACAGTCAGTTCATGAAGTGCACTAGAGTCCCAAGAGTTAGAGACAGGCGCAAAGCTAATAAGACATTTAAGCTGAGATCATCAAGGCACCTGGAGGCAGGTAGGAATATAGAAAACTATATTGTGGAAGAGCTTTGAGACCCATCACTGAGAGAAAAACCAACTCAACAAATCCTCAGAGGCCAGCTTTAGTCCCTGCAAGCCCCTTCTCTTTCCTGTCTCACCACAAGCCAATCAGGCTGCCAACTAGTGTCGCATGAGCTGGTAGGTGTGCCCAGTGGACCTGAGTGCTGAGAGAGGCTGGGTGGGCAGAGAGGAGGAGGAGGAGGCAGATATACGGCTGGAGTCGTCAGAGCCAGGTGATGTATGTTGCGCCTGAGGGAGCTACACAGTGACACTCTGGATTCCAAACAGCAAGTGTTGCTCCACTGGGATCAGTGCCGAATTATTGCTCCATATGAAACCCCAGGACTGATGGGAGCTTTCAGTTACAGACTGATGGCAGCAGCCAAAATTGGATTGTTTGCTATTTATTTTTTTTAACTTCTGTCAAGGTCACTACCGTAACAGGAAAACACTGCCCAAGCAGCAGGTATTTTTCATCTACTCTGTCCACAAGAGCAATCTGCAGCCACAACTTTTCTGACAGGGCCTTGACTTGGCGGCTCTCTCTCTCTGGAAAGATGTCAGTGTTACAGGGGTCTTGGAGGAAAGGAGCTTCCTGAAGATGGGCTTTTTCCTTCCCACTGTAAGAGTTCCTCCTTCTCCGTCCCCTAGTTTAGAATGTTTTGTCCCCAGATGCACTCACTCACCATCCTGGCCCTTTCTCCAGATCATCCCACAGCTTCTTCGTAGTCCAGTCTTCCAGTGTCTTCAAGCTCTCAAGCCCCCAGAAAACTTCCCCCAAAGCATCCACTCTTCATGTATCCTTTCTTTCCCTGCACTCCTCTGCTACCCAGTGTAGCTGTTCGCTCTCTTCTTTTTTCTGTCAACAGATTCATCTTTATTAACTAGATGCCTCCACTCATGTGCCAGGGTTTATGTTGGAAACAATTGTGAGTATAAGATAGTGTATCAGGTAGTACCTGCCCTCAGTGAGCAGATTCCCAAACCTTCAATGATGGCTGATTCTTCCTGACACATATTTATATACAGACCAGGGCTTCAGAGTGGTTCATTATGCTTTTATCCCCTGCCAGCATTTTGCACTTCATTCATCCCAGATATACTGTTGAAACAGAATTTTTATTTTTAACAAGCTCCTTGGGTTCTACGTATAAATTGCCCAATGGTACTATGTAGTACCCTGAATCAGACACATCCTAGGTACATCTGATTCAGGCCACTTGCCATGCATCTGAGAGCTGGACAATGAGTAAGTTAACAGAAGAAGAATTGATGCCTTCCAGCTATGATGTTGGAGAAAAGCACTGAACATCCCATGCATGGCCAAAAATACAAACAAATATATCTTGGAGAAGGTGCAGCCGGAGTGCTCTTTAGAGACAAGAATGATGAGGCTTCACTTCACATACTTTGGGCATGTTGCTAGAAGAGGCTATTCCTTGGAGAGATAAGATGCTAGGAAGGGTGGAAGGTTAACTTAGGAGAAGACCCTCAACCAGGTGGATAGACACGGTGACTGCCTCAATGGGCTCTAGTGTGTCAGGAAGTGTAATGGTGGTGCAGTATAGGACAGGGTTCAGATCCTTCATTTATAGGGGCGCCATGAGTTGTACTATGCTTGATGGCACCAGACAACAGCAGCAATATAGTACCTTTGGGACCTTATCTTCTCCACTTGGTGACCAACTCAAGCCTCTTTATTGTGCCTTTCCTGACTTGAGCAAGGCTCAGGGACAGACACATGTCTAGCACTAAAAGTCAGCTACTATCTAGTTCCCATTTAGGGACTGGGCACAGTCTTCCTCCTTCCCGCAACCTCTGCCCTTCCATCATGACTATGCCCCAGGCCATACACTCAGCAGTTGCTGAGGAATTGTCTTAGTTGATAGTTTAACTAGTAAAGAATATCTACCCTGAGCATTGTGATCTGTTAAGATCTAGCTATACAGGAGAAAACTGTCATCTCAAAAGATTAGATAGTAACATAAGAGAGTAGTGAGTTTATGCTAGTGAGGACAGAGCAACTCAAAAAAAGAGGGAGATTGGTTGTACATCTCACAGAATGGAATTGTACTTACAGAAACTGTTGTTGGTATGTTCTACTGTATATAATCTGAAAAACAAAATTAATGATTTTTTAATAGAGCAAAGGGAAAGTAATTTCTATTATTAAGCACTTCCCCTGTACTAGGATGATACTACATGGATTATATGCATAATCTCCAATTTATAGATTTTTAAAACCTAGGTGCTATAGGTCATATTTTATGAGCGATAAGGCTGAGACTTGAACTTCACAGTCAAAGAATAATCTTCTCTCAAACCAAACTCAGTGCTATCAAGTTGATTCCAACACAGAAACCAATGGGATTTTGAGGCTGTAAATCTTAATGCGAGGAAACTGCCTATTTTTTTTCCCCCTTGCCACTGCTAGTGGTTTTGAGCCCCTGGAGACGACACTTTCTGGTTAGCTGTAAAACACACTTTGGTTTTTTTTTGGTTTTTTTAAATTTATTATTAAATTTTATTAGTTTTAATGAACATTTACAGGGATTTTGGGTTTTCATTCCTTCATTGCTGCACCATTCTCTCTACCCTCCTCCCCAGTTTGTTCTTCTTCCCCACCATCCAAATGTCTGTTTTAATTGTCCAATTGCCACAGTGCTTGTCAAAGTCAGTTCTGATTAATCTCCTTTGTCGGTGTGTCCTTTGCCATTCCCTATCACTCCTCCCTGAGAGAGACTTCACCCTGATTCATAAGGAAAAGGGGATGGTGTATTCTCTTAGCTACTTCCTGCTGAAAAGGGACGCTGTGGGTTTCAGGGTGAAGATCTTCTCTCACTACTCTAAAGGGCCCCTTTGGCAGTAGGAAACATATAGACTATTATGGAGATTGATTTTGGAATTTAGATGCACTCTTATTGATTGTGCTTGGCCGTACATGTTCATATCCTTGAAGATGTATCATGGGGGTGTTGCAACCTAGAAGACACAAATTTGACTAACAAGTTATAAGTACATGAGTCAAAAATTATGGAAAAGTAAAAGAAAGGATTCTTTCATTGTTTTACAAACCCTCCCCCAGGTCCCCTCCACCATGTAGCCCTCGCTCTAGACTCCTGTGATGACAGAAATACCTAGTCATGTATCTCTTTTAAACAGTTTTCTCCCTCCTCTGTTTCAGTGCAGTATACATTATTGAACCCATCTTACTCAGCTCCTAGAGTAACTTATTAGCAGGTGGCCATGGTTAAGGTGGTGTGCTACTAACCTAAAGGCACACAGTTCAAATCTACCAGCTGTTCCACAGGGGAAAGATGGGCAGTCTCCTTCACTTTAGTTAATTGCCTCTGAACACCCACTCGAGGGTCAGATGCATTGGTTCCAACTCGACAGTACATAACATTTTACTGAAAATTAAGCAGAGTGAGCCGAGATCCCTGAGCAGTACCCACCTGAGACAAGGAGACGATGTGGGGCCAAGACAAGGGAGGAGTGGGAAGGACTCATCTGTTTCCAGTGCTCCTGAGCCAGAACTGTACAGCAGGATCCCGCAGAGATCCAGACATATGTTTTTTCCCTATTGGTTTCGGAAATGGAGTGAAACTAGGATCCTCCAGTGCCCACATACCTAAGCCACCTTTCTTCTTTCTCCCTAGTACCAGGAAAAGCAGCGGAAGCGTGAAGCTGAGGAACGACGTCGCTTCCCCCTGGAGCAGCGGCTAAAAGAACACATCATCGGCCAGGAGAATGCCATCGCCACAGTGGGTGCTGGTGAGTATATGGGACACGGGTGAGCACCACAAATGAAAGGTGGCACATGAACTCAGGGTCCACTATATACATCCTGCTGCCACCAAACTGTAGAAAGAGGTAATTAATAATAGTATAGGTTAACATTTATTAAGAACTTTCTGTATGTCAGATATTATGATAAACATACATTTGTCATGTAGACCTCACAACAAAAGTGCCATTAAGTCCCCTTGCATAGATAAGAAAATGAGACATAGAATATTAGATCGGTCATTTACTTGAAGCTACTTTCTATTCTTAGAATATAGCTCTTACATAAATTCCACTTCCCACAATCACAACCCACTTTTCAAGGTGGGAAGACAAATCCAGTGAGGGGTAGGAATTTGCCAGGTTCCCTAGCAAGGTAGCAGCTAACTTAGAACTTGTGTTTTCTGTCTCCCAGCCAGGATTCTTCAGTATCGTTGGTCAGCAGCGAGCCTAGTTTTAGGAAAAACACCCTGAACAACTCAGAGTGTCTTCTCTGAAGTTGAAGTTCTTGTCTCATCCTCTGACCCTTAGGAGTCAAACCATCCTGTAACCCCTAATCCCACAGTCCTTCCTGTGCAAACCCCAGAGGACGTAAATACAGACATACTTCTTTATTGCACTTCACTTTATTCTGCTTTTCATGTTATTTACAAACTGAAGGTTGTGGTAACACTTTGTCAAGTAAATCTATCAATATAGCCATTTTCCATCAGCATGTGCTCACTTTGTGTCTCTGTGTTACATTTTAGTAATCCCATAGCATTTCAGACTTCTTCCTATTGTTATTATACACTTAATAGACCACAGTGTAGTGTAAATAGATTTTTTTTTAATTTATTTTATTTCATTATTTTTTGTGTGTACCGTCAAATCAGATCTGACTGGTACAGGAGGAGATTGTTCCTCCTTCTCCAGCAGAGCATCTGGTGGATTTGAACCGTGCACCTCTGAGACTGTAGTTGCAGCTTCCTGCCAGTAGGCCACCAGAGCTCACCAGATCTTTTATATGTACCAGGAAACCAAATATCTCTATAATCAAGTCACTTAATTATGTTCCTGCTTTATTGTATGGTAGTGTGGAACTGAACCTACAATCTCTCCAAAGTACACCCATAGAAAACCAGGGCCCTGATGACAGTGGCTGCCTTGCCAGTATTCTCTTACTCAGGTGCCTCACTCCTTTAGGGTGACTTTAGACCGAAGAAAAGAGAGAAGAGGAACCCAATGCCAGGTTTATACAACAGGTATCCCCCAAAACAGTTGTACTCAAAAGTGTAGTTAGTTCCCAGATCAACACCACCAACTTCTCTGTGAGTTTGTTAGAAATGCAGGATCTCAGGCCTCACCTACAGAAGAGTGATTGAGAAATGAAGTCATAATGCCCCTGTAACACACTAGGTCAAACCTAAACTCCATTATCTTCACACACCAGAAGAATTCATGTCTGACTTCCTGTTCTCACTGGCTCCTTAAGCCCGTGAGATATGAAGCTCCCCAGAAATAGAGATGGAGGAAGGCAATGAGATAAAAATAATTAGATCAACTTCAGCAGGTGCCCTTAGCAGCTGTGCAACTTGAGACTAGCCACTTAACATCGCTGAGCGTCCGTTTCTCATCTGTGTGTGCACTTCCCAGTATGCACAGCAGTGAATAAAATCTAGTCTCTGTGCTCAAAATCCTCATAGTCTAGGTTTGAGCACTGTGCTTTTTAAGTCAAGCTCATAGTTATATCTTTCACCTGCGTCTGATCCAGCCCCCCTCTTCCCCTGTTCCTACCTATCTTGTCTATCCTTCCATTGGCCCAGAGGAAGAGTAGATGATTCCATTGCCCCCCTTTCTGAGCCCTGTAACTACTTCTGCCCTGAGTGCTTCCTTCTTCCATTCTGTCGCTAAAACTCAGCCTCAGGCCAGAGGTAAATGGCTGCCCAAGAAGACCATACTCCTAGTTCTGTGATACACAGGTTGACCCTACTATGACTCCTGTGATCCTTGCAAAGACAGTTCATGGATGCCTGGATGTTTTGTCCCTTTCATCTGTGAAGTAGTAACTGTACACCCACCTTGCTGAGAAGGGCTGTAGCTGAGAATCACACTGATTATGTTCAGAGACTAGAGATTATGTCTCAAAGGCTTCTGGACCCCAGCATCAGGGAATAAGGCATCAGGCAGCTCTGGAACATGAGGAAATCAGAAGCACCCATGCCACGAGACCCGAGGCTGGTGTCACATGTTGCCTGGCTGCATGGAGCCTGGCACCCCATGGGCACCATGAGGATGGGTAGCCAGAGAAGTGCCGCAGAATGAATTGATTTGATAAATGGTCATTTATTACCCTCACGAATTGGCTGAAACCAATTTCGGTCACATCAACCCCTCGTAAGTGCTGGGATATTGATTTGTGCAAAGTAATACAGTGAATTTATCAGTGTGATCCCCAGCTGCAGGGCTTCTCAGCAAGGCTGGCGCACAGTTACCGCCTTACAAATGGAGGAGCTAAAACACCAACCCCACAGTCCAGGCCCCATGACCTCTCTGGTCTGCTTAGGATCATGGAGCCAAAGCAGAACCAACCTAAATATCACACATCAGAGCCTTCACAATCAAAGTGAGGTATGCCTTCCAGAATATAGAGCCACTGTTAATCATGGTCAAGCTGTCAAGTGACTTTCTAGGAGCTCAGCAGCCCCTATGCCCTACCGTCTTCCTCAGAAAGGCAACAGCTATCTACTCAGCATATTCAGAACTAGAGTCCTCCCCCAGACCTATCTTCTCCTATGTTCTTATAGCAAAGGATACCACCACTCACCAGTCTGAATAGAAGCTTAAATGTATCCTTGGCCCCTCTTTCCCTCACCCCTTGCAGCTCATCATGTATTAAGTTCCACCATCCTACCTCTTAAATAGTTCTCAAGCCTGACTTCCGCCTCTGTTTTGACAATCTGCCCTAGCTCCCTGTCCCCTATTCAAACTATGTCTGGCCTCCTGCCTCTTCCTTTCTCTGTCTGTAATCAGTTCTTCTCACCAGCTAGAGTGGTCTTTGTAAAATGCACATCTAAGTGTCACTCTCCTGTTTAAAACCTTTTTGTGCTCCTCACTGCCCTCAACATGGTGTATAAGGCTTGACCTTGCTGCTCGCCCACCCTCATGCCCCACACACTCCAACAACCCCAGGCTGCCCCTGCTTTCTTGCTCACTCTGTGTGTTATCTCCTGCGAGGCTTGTTGACATTGTCCTCTTTACTTACAGTTGCTTTACTTCTGGCCTTCCTGCACCCCCACCACTGCCTATCTCCTCAATTACAGCCAGTTTTTACTTACTTCATTTGGGAACAATAGACCGTAAACCTCTTGAGGGCAGAGGTCATGAATTGTTTTTGTTTTCCTACTTCTTGCCACTCAATCCCACCCAAGCTCTGATGTCCTACTGGTAAGGAGCTGCACTGCCAACCCAAAGGCACTTGGTTTGAATCCACCAGCAGCTTCTAGGAGAAAGATGGGCAGTCTCTTCCTGTGCAGTTTACTGCCTCTGAAAACCAGCGAGAGTGTCAGTTCTGACTTGATGGTACACAACAACCATGCTCAGAGTAAAGTAGTTAGTACTCACCAACACCCAAATTAGTCATTGTCTTTGAGACAAAACCAACTCATAGCTGACCCTCCATTGTTTCCAAGACTATAAATTGTACAGGAGGAGACAACCCGCCTTTCTGGCATAGAAATGCTGGTATATTCAAACTGCCAGAGAGACATGACCTTGGGAGTAGCAACTCCCTGCAGACTATTTTGTTGAGTTAACTGATGTGGGTACCCCACTTGCCCGTCTGTCTCTGTGATGTGTGCCGAGCAAAGAAGAGATACTGTAGAGCCTGTCCTCAACTAGTTTATAGTCAGTCAATCATACCAGGAATATAATAGGACTATTGAAATAGTTAATTATCATAAGCTTACTATTTGACTTTGACTTTTTGAGTGACCAAGTCATCACAGACCTGCTGCAAGAATCCTCCTAAGAGCAGCAGGTTTGCTGCATGTGCTTGGCAACTTCCCCAGTATGCCCACAGATCAAACACCTGTCCCAAGTGCCCATCCACCTGGGTCCCATTTGACTGTGAAACTTTACCCCTCAGCAGAGCTCTGCCATATCAGCTGCCCTTCAGCACTGGGAGCAGGTCTGAATGATGGAATCTCAGCATCAGCCATGTGGCACACAATATACACTTCCTCCAACTTTTGTTTCCCTCTTTCACCTGTCCAAAATGTAGCCTTCCCAAACCCTGCTAGGACCCTTCCTTTGAGTTCTGTTTTATGATCTAAGAACTACATCTACACCATCCCCAAGTTGTATGATTAACCTGCTTGCAATTCCACCCACATGCTATGTCTTTCTAAGCTTTTCTGCCTTCATTACTGCTGCCTCTGCTTGATTGCCCCACTCTTTCACTTTGCATGCTGAGAAAGTACAACCTAGACCCTCTCCAAGAAGCCTGCCTTAGTCCTCCACTTAGATTTGAAACCCGTTCTCTGGGCTTCATACAGACACCCTTTATCACTGCACTGCCACATAACACAACTCATTACCATCAACTCAGAACCAACCAGCAAGTTTTCAGAAGCTGTAAATTGCACAGGAGGAGATTGCCCATCTCTCTCCCACAGAACAACTAGTGGATTCAAACCATCTGCCTTTGGATTAACACCGTAACTCTTTACCCATTAAGCTACCAAACTTCCTCACACTACGGCGTAGCACATATGTTTGTAAGTCTTACTCCCTCCAAAGTTGAGAAGTTACCTCTCGTTCTTTTCCCAGGGTTATACACGCAGGTATATGAAACTTCGTTAAACTGAAGTGAATGACATCTGAACCCATTTGACATTCTTTCTCAACAGTCTCATCTCTGTTTTTTTACTGAAAGGGTACTACTATTGCCTCAGTGACTTTTACCCGTACTGTACATAAATATAAAATTAAAAGGCTGAGCAAAAGCT